TTTCAGTTTAGAATTTCAGTTACTCTCGCTTTTCTGGGCCGCTGGCCATAAAAAAGTTCCTTGAACAGCAATTAGCACAGAAAAAATGTGAAGATTGAAATTTGCCAGACTGGTGGGGTGTTCTTCAATTTCCGGCCATAACTTCTGCAATTGGCACAGTTTCTCATCAAAGAGCCTTTACCCCGTTTTGTAGGCCACATCTCACTGGGAACTCTCGGCCGCGCCCAGTTTACTAATTTTAGTTTGAAACTTTTTGTTTTCGAAACGTACACACACATACAATAAATAAGCCCCAACGTCTCTGTAGAGACGGAAAAACCAACAAAAAAATACGTGGGACGTGGGAAATCTGTTGGCTACAAAAGCCATGACGAAAATAACAAAAAACCCGGCGAAAACTCCGAAAAAAATAAAAAGAAGTCGGAAAAATTAAGAGCAAACAAAAAGGCCAGCGTCGTTTTCCCAGGGCCGAGCATATTGTATTGAGAGTTCTTTTTAATTAAAGGAAAAAGGAACGCCAAGAATGGCAGCGGTAGATTGGGAATGGTTACTGCAGCTCTGAATTTATAAAAATGATTAAAAAAGTTGCAAAATGCAAAAGGCAGAACAAACAATCGCAAAAATTGCACGGAGCGGAAATAAATTTAAACACAAACAAATTTGTCAGAGACCAAAATAGAGGCACAACAAAAAAACTGCTAAGATGAAATGGAAAAATATGGGAGCGAAAAAAACTATAAACAAAACATGGGCATAAACAATGCATTTCTGAATATTTGCATTGCGTATACGCCACGTAATAAATAAAGAAGGGCAAGTGGAATTGGGATATATATTGATGCAAGCCACCACATTGCTTCTGCCTTAAAGATTTGGGATCTTAAAGAATACTTTCTTTTCTTTCTAATACTTTTTAATACCTTTCCAACATTCTTAGCTTAAATTCAATAATCAATTAACTTTTTTCATTATACGTATGTATTTTCTTTTATTTTTGTCCCATCTTCATGGTGGGAATCATGGTCATCTTTATTTGAAATGAACTTAATGCTCGTTTGTGCCAGTTTTCTAGTTTTCAGACTTCTACTTGAAACTATTATATACATTTCCTCCTACCTGCTTGCCGTGTTATAATCAAGTGCCGACTAACTGCAACTTGTAGTTGCAAGTTTGTAGGTATTTTTGCAAATTGGCAGCATCTGTTGGATTCTCATCTGATTAAATATTTAAGTGAAATTTATGCATAATTCCATAAAAGTCTGGTTCTTTCTAGAGTCGTTTTAATCAGCGAGAGTAAGACATCATTTTGCGGAACTTGATGCAATCGCCGACACCGAAGCCATGTAGAAAAACTGCCCCGAAGCAATCCATCAACGCATATCGTGAGCAAAAAGCCTCCCAAAACTAAAACCCAACAATCCCCAAGTGTATAAAACTGTCAGGATACAGCACTCACACATCCACCCCGACTACAGCAACAAAACGAAACTTGTGAACCACATTTCCCTTCTGAAACACACTATATTAAAGCTATTCTTTAAGTCCCCGAACAAACTATTCGGAAAGAGCAAAATACAAGTAAGAAGATGATGAATCTTTTGTTGTTTCCCGACTCTGAAAGCCACTAAAAATGTTAACTGAAATACAAGGAGAATAAATGTATGGCCTCAGACAAAAAAAAGGGAAAGTTGAGCTCTCACTCCCCCTGGAGAATGTAACCAAGATGAAATGTGTGCTCCAACCAGCAGCAATAACATGTTGAGCAAAAAATTATGATGGAAATGGGGAGCAGATGGAAATAGGACACGGGAAAAATAATGAAAGCCAAGAAGGACGAAAGCGCATTGACAAGCAACTCATAGTCCTTTAGCTTGGCATAAAACTAACAAGAAAATTCAAAGAATGCTTACTTTTAAGGGCGTTGCGAATCGTGTATAGTAGCACTTTTCTTTAAAATGTTACGTAAAAATTCCTCAAAAATGGCACTAAAAATATAGAGAAGCTTTAAGAGTTTCTCTTAAAAAATCTTATATAAAACTCCATGATTACATTTTTTCGGAATTTTTCTAGTATACTCCCCAAATTAATGTTTCAACCTCGCCAGCAGCAAAAACAAAAACGTACCACATGTCAATGTCAACAGCAATGACAAAGACAAATTTACCTAGCTTCAAGGACTCTAAGAAAATCGTTGTATTTGCCATTAAAATTTAAATTAGTAAATAGCCGCTCCTGTATCTTTGCTCTCTTTCAACAACATCTTTCGAAATTGAGATTTTTTTGTAAATTTAATGCCTTGCAAGAACTTAAAAAAAAATACACGCACAAATGGCGCCGAATTCCGTCCGGCAATCAACTAAATTCAAAGCAAATTGTCCGCACAATGGCCCAAAGGACAGCGGTCCAGGCCAGGCCCAGGCCCATCATGATTGTCCTCGAGGACACAGCAAGCCAAATGCCTCATTATTTTGCGCTTGAGAAATTTCTGTCTCGTCACTAATTCATCATTGTTTCGGCACATTAAATCCTTGAACGTCAACGCATTCATTATCTCATCGCATGTGAGCCTTTGGGGATGAGCCGGAGCTTTTGCATTTGGGCTTGCCTTCCCTCTGATTTTGGCCAACTCATCGCCGACCTCACATGGTCAGCTGTCTGTCTGTCCCTCTGTATGCCTGCCTGTCATCGGGAGCTTGGTCGCCACGGCATGCTTGAGTGATATTAACTGACCGACAATCAGTCAAGGGCAACGCAACTGAACCGGCAGCAGCCAAAACACACACTTTTCCCAAAGAGGCTTAGGCCAGATTTCGGGCTTCGGGAAGCACAAGAGCATTCTTGTGGCTGCCCACGAATTGTCCTAGTCATTTTCGCAGATGTTCTATTTAACCCAAAGTACACTTAAGCAATACTCAGTGGAGTTATGAACTATTAAAGTAAATGTATACTTTAAAGACAGCATATTTTGTAGCCAAAAAGTCAATAGATACTTTTTTGATTGTAGAAACAATTTTTTTTAAATCTATGAATACCATTTAGCTAACATTCAGTGGGTTAAAATCCTCCTCAATCTACACAAGGGTACAAAAGTGTGCCCTACATGTTAATTGCTTTTCAGGCTAATCGCATTTTTTGCCCGTCATTATGAGTAGTGTGTCTGGAATGCGCCCATAAACCAATTTGTCGAAAAGATTGCGATGGCTGGCAAATTGCTTAAAGCTCTCCGCAATTTAAACTATTCCAGCGGGCAGACAAAACAAAATAAATAATGCAATCGTTTCATGTAATCTACCATCAAATAAACCAAGTCTTTAATAAAAAATACCCCAGGACAATATGCAAAGCCCAAATAATCGCACATGTCATCTGGCCTTAATTTCGTATGCAAACAAAACATCATTACAAATAGCCGGTAAAAAAACTGTTAACACGGTGACCAAAAAAAAGACTTAAATAACAGTAGCAAACATTTGAAATAACGAAAGTTAAATGTCCTTGCAGCATAAATAATTCCAAAATAAACTTGTATTTGCATCGCAAATGTAGAACAAATGTTTTGTAGTTAAAGTAAAAATATATACTTCTCTCTTAAGTTACAAATTTAATGATCCTGTGTTTAATTAAGTACCATAATTTAATTTAAATATTTTTTTACATGCCTAAAACTATTTAAAATGAAAATAAATACACAACTTCCAATATAATATAATTTATGTAATACAAATATATATTCAATTAAGTAATGGTATATAATTCGAAAGACTTAGTTATGAATTTAGTTGACAAAAACTGCACTTTATTAGAATTTACAAAGCTCGTTGTTACAATTGCAAATTGTGTCACGGAGATTAGTCATCGCTTCACCTCCCTGGAGGACAAAAATCATTCCACAGTTGCTAGGGCAATAAATTCAGACCTTCGGGGAGGATGCCAGAAAAAGTCATATTACATCGCTAATTTATGTAGCACATAAGTTAATTTCTGTTTGTCTGTTATTTGTTGTAATTAGTCGACGTTCAAGCCGTTGTCCCAGGGGCCATTAAAACTCGTCCCTGGCCGGAAATGCCGAGAACATAAACAAACGAAAAACTGTTGCTTCCGCTAGCTGCGTGCGAAAAAAGGATATACACTAGCCACGAAAGAGATGCCCATAGTCCGGGCTAATTATTTTGTCGGTCAGCCAAAGTTCATAGTTCACATGCCACGGCGGCAGCCGCATCAGGAGGAATAAGGGTAGGCATGGCCATGGGTCTATGGGGCCATGGAAAGATAGTAGTACGCCCACTCGTCCTTGGTCGCCATTTCGTTTCATTTCGTCCGTTTGTATAATTTTTATTATCAGGCCAAGTAAAATAAACTTAATTAATACCCGCGTCGGACGTCGGGCCGGCATTTGATTCATGGCCTGCATTTGCGGGTCCGGCTTAAATGCAATAATGAATGTGGCGGCGCGAAATAAAAACAAAAATAAAAATAAATATAAAAGTAGGAATAAAAATGTGCAAAGTGCGAAGGCAGAAAGCCAGAAAGTGCTGAGAGCCAGGCCCAAAGTCAAGGCATTAATGATGGTGACCTTTTTGGCACCTTTCCCAGCGAAGAGGACTTTTTTAAAAGCTGAATTTTTTGTTTACAGTGGGACTTGCTAAAAGTACATCAGTAATATACAAGCATTTTTTTAATAACTTCGAATATTTAATTTAAAGATTTATAAGAAAACACCTATTTCTTGACACCCTACATACACTTGATCCACTCTTATAGGCTTATCCACAAAAAACGAAATCACTTAACAAACAATGAAATCCCTTGGGATAACGAAACAAAATCTATTATTTAAATTTTTTTTTATGGTCAGGTCAACCTGCCGTATAGCCCTTCACTCGAATTCATACGCCCCGTGAGCCCTTGTGGCAAGCTCGCACTTATCAACAGCTTACCGAATAATGCCAATCGAATCGCATTCCGTTCTGGTTTCATGTCGCATACCACTCTTGTTGCAGGAATGGCGCCTCTGCCCGCGGAGGGATTGCACCTGTCGAACCTATCCGTGCCGCGAATTATCGACGTGTCCCAAAAGGCGAAACTCTTCTGCAGCTACGCGATGGGCAATCGGACGCTGAACTCTGTCAAATGGTACAAGGATGGCCTCGAGTTTTTCAGGTGAGCCAACGGCTGTGGCCAAAAAGCAAATAAAAATGCTCCATAAAAAAATATTTTTCGGCATTCAGTTTGAAATAATAAAATGTCGCAAGTGCGCGGCCAGGGAGTTGGCAGTTGGTAGTTGGTAACTACCGAGTTGGCAGTTCGAGATCGGAAAATGTGCTGGTGCATTCATGCAGATTTTATGGCGCAAATTGAAAACGTCATGAAACTGCAACACTGTCCGCAACAAAGTGAAACCGGGCACCCAAAAAAGTGGCGAGGAAATTCGTGGTATGGCAATGGGTCGCTTGAAAGTGTCGCAACTAATTTAAATGCTTAATTGAAATGGATTTTTATGGGCTCCTGGAATTGCGGCCAGGTGGCGCTACCGTATCGGGCCCAAATATGTGCGAAGAGAGTTTTTTATTTAACTGGCTTAATTGTTGCACATTGCTGCATTCATATTCACACTTGCACAACGGAGAACTGAACCGGAGCCCAGATCTGCGCTTCATCCGGGGCCTAATGGAGTGCGAAATTTTTAACAAAGGTGTATATTTGGGCATTACAGTTTTTATTTTTTTTTATGTTTTGGTTATTGATTTTAAAGCCGCAAACATGCCAACAAATGGCAAGTGATGGAAAAAAATTTTATTTATGTCAAATAGTAGAACCATTTAAGGGTTTATATTCTTTTCCAAATGGACTGACACGCCCAACTTTTATTAAATGCACTTTCAGAAATAACAACAACTAATAAATCCAATAATTGTTTATATTCTTTCTAACAAAAACTTGATTTTTGCAGTGCAACCCTCTGGCAAGAACGCCCCTTGCAACATCGTTGAATGTAAATTTGAAACGTTTTGGCGACCACATTCTATTGGCTTTCCCAGCCCAAAATTATTGTTTTTGACATATTCGCGAGGGTCGTCCGATTTCACGAGGGGGAAATAGGAACGAGGGCGGTCTTTGGAGCCGTCTCTCCAGTAATTTACTGCCGTAGGCATTTGGCTTTTATCAATTACGCTTTTGTGTGAACGTTTTGATTGTGTGGTCTGCACTCGACTTCAATTATTCATGCACATTTGACACTGCGGTTGCTTCTATTTGTAACAAAAAACGTCACAAAGACTTTTACAATTTTGAATTAGTTGGACCGTGCTTTTTCATTTACTAATTTGTGAGCTTATTGTTCGAGTACAACATTTTGCTTGATCTTTTTGCAAAACTCCAGTCCAATTAGTGTATGGAATGCAATAAGTTTAGAAAGTAATATTTTCGAAAATAAAATTTCAAGTCAGTATTTCTTAATTGACCATTTTTCTTATATTGTAAAATCATAAATTCTTTTGTTTTCGAAAATCCTCTTTTTATTTGTTAACTCTCAGCATATATTTGCAATGCGTAAAATCTAACAAATGGAAAACGATTTTGCCCAAACCCCGTGCTAATTGCTGAAATCAAATGCAACATTCCCGTCGAACATACGAAAGAAATTTGAATTTCGAATTTTCGGAATTTGAATTTTATTTGTGCTTTGCAGAGAATGCGAAACCGAGTGGCAACTGCATAATATTCATAATAAAATCGACAGCCCTGCCAAAAACTGGATACAATGCGAAGAAACGTTTCAGATGCAGAAACTCAAATGAAAACCGAAAAATAAAAGAGAATTTTTTGCTTGATTCCCTCATCAATATTTCATGATTTCGATTTTGGCGCAGCACTTGAGCTTAAGCTGCAGTCTCCAATTGCACCATCCCCGTCTCCATCTAACGCTACGTAACTGTCTATCTCCTTTTGCAGATACTCGCCGCTAACTCCGCCGACAACAAATTGGTTCCCCGTTAAAGGTGTCACCATTGCCAACGGTTCGCCGCATTGCAATCAATTCATCTGCAACGTAGAGCTGGAGAAGCTCAACGCCAGCTCGTCCGGCCAGTACAGATGCGAGGTCTCTGGCGATGCGCCCGAGTTCAAGTTGATCGATCAGTCGGCCAATATGACAGTCGGTGGTATGTACATATAATAAATGCATCCCAACATGATCCCAATCGTGGGTCCATAGTACACTGAATTAAAAAAGGTATCAGACATCATATACAGACTCTTTCAAAATATGTCAAGCTACACGTATCCTTTTTTTACAATTTCCTATTACCAAATCCTTTTGATCCCACTGTGCACTTGCTGAAATTTTTGTAGATGTCTTTGATTTATGTTTTGCAACATAAAGACAACAAATTATGTGCAATTTTGCAAACACTTAATAAAATTATAAATGGTCTTTGCACGGCCACCGAACCCGATGCTATTTCGAGGTATAGTAGTAGGTAGGAGTTCAACCGACAACTCCTTTCCATTTATCAATGCCACACGGCGGAGTATTTTCCGGGTGGATTGCGGAGGGAATCACGATTCCGAGAGGAGTACGGCGGAAGGGCGCGACCGTAGGTCCGTGGCAGTGGCGGTAGGCAGTTCAAAAGGGCGTCACATAAATGCTGGAAAATTGTGACACGCGTCAGCCATTTGTATGAGTAATGATTGTTAATAAATCCTGACAACCATCCATAGGCTCCGCCCACCGCCACGGGTGGTCGGACAGTACCCCCCAGCCCATGCCTCATTCCCATACCCCTGCCAACGTCCCGCAGCGGCACCTGACGCTCTAGTGAACAAATTCAACTCAATTGTGAGTTTTGTAGGAATCAATTTATAATCTACAATGCGCGGTCGTTTGGCGTTGTCACGTGCTGGGCCTAGACAACAACAATGCTAAAATCCCAGGACCAACTCGTTTGCGGCACTTGTAGTTGGGTTTGTTAACGTCAACGTCACCCGCTCGCTCCACCAGTAACACCAGCACCACCCGCACCACCAGCACCACTCACTCCGCCCCATCGACACCATCGCCGGTAACGCATCACCCGCCATTTTGATTTCGCTTTGATTGGCGGCGTACATGGCGATGAATTCTCCGAAAAACCCACTGGCCTACACAGTGATAAATTAAATAATAAATTTAAAAGTTATAATGCTGTATTTGCTAATAATATGAAATTTAATATTTAATTATATTGTAAAGTTCAGCATAGATGTTTTTTATAATTTTATAATGTCCATCTGAACTTTTCCATAAAATATTTTTTTGGTGTAACCTCGTCCCTATTTTTGCGGTTGATTTCGACCAAAAGGAACCGCCAGGCATTCCGTCACACAACCAGCCAGACTTTCGGTTACTGGGCTGGTTCTACTTTGAAATTCAAATCAATTGATTTCGGTCCAATGTCATTTCGAGGCAAATGGAAATGGCCTGCTTATGTCTTTTGTTTCTAGTTTCTATGCGGCTCAAAATGATTTATTTGTCGCAATTTCGACGCTCAGCGATTTGTTTCCTTTTGTAGCTAGATAGATGCTAAATGGGCGGCTTTCAGAGGGGTTTTCCCGACGGTGTGTGGGTGTAGGCGCTGTTGGAGTGGTTATGTCAGTAAATGGGTCTACCACTGTGACTGCGGGAGCCATGGGAGGGTATGGCGCGTAGGTTGTGGGTGCCTTATTTATTGACGTTACTTTAAGAGATATTGATTTGCATAATGCGCACTTAAGCATTTGTTTACGCGTAACAATCAAATTTGAATTCGCATTTTCGTATTTGTATTTCGTCTTTAATTGGATGTTTGGTAAAGGGCAGACAGTATTTGTGCTCGCTATTTGAATGTCAATTTGACTTTTATCTATTCAACGTACTTAAATAGACAAAGTAAGCCATGCTCAAGTTGCTGTACAATGTACATGGTAATCCCAGTGACTAGATTAAGTGCCAGACTACATTCAAATAGCCACGTGGAGTGCTTTTCCGTTCCCAGGCCACCGCAGACTCGCTCCATCACCTGACAAACTTCCCTCATTGGTTTTTGCAAAAACAGAAAGTACTCCATTATAAGTTGGCATTTATTTATGGATTATTGATTTATAGTGATTCATTCAGAATTGAAAATATTCAAATAAATGAAAATAATGAACTGCAGCTCGAACGTTGACAACTACTCATAAAGAACTACTTATATTCCCTAATCTACAACATAGCTTAAAAAAATGTTTAAAAACCCTTTGATACTTATTAAAATAAAATATTGGGAGTAATAGTACCATGACTATTCCGTTTTTTGTATTAAAAAGCTAAGAGCTTATATGAAATTTAAATAAAAGCTTTTTTCACTGATAAAGTAGAAAAACATGGTGGCTGGCGGGCAATCCGACCGCCATATAATCATGGTGGCTGGCCGTATTGTCCGACGAGCCACGAGTGCCTTTGGCATATGCCAGCGTCAGTGGCCAGTTGGTCTCGTCATTTTAATTTATATGTACTCACACACAGCAGCACAAATCCAAGAAATAAGCTGTAAAAAAATACAATACCCCGAGGGCAGCCAAACAAAATATAGTAAAGCCAACCAGCCATGGCATCAAACTTCATCAACGAGATAGTGGCAAAGTTTAAAGTCCTCTTTTTCAGGACAATGTGTCCGTGTGTTGGGAAAATGTGAAAGTGTTGGTACAGGAGGTCAAATCGAGAAAGAGGAGGAGGTGGGTGGACAAGAGTTGGGCAAAAGGATCCTATGCACGTACGTAGTGCTAACCCCATGGTAGTTTTAGCTCGTGTCGCCTGTTTTTTGTTTCAATGAAGGCGAAGCTGTTGACAGACCAACAATCGACTTGGGAATTTTGTCACTAAAGTGCCATCGCCATCGTAACCACCTTAAAAACTTTGTCACAACAACGTGGGCCGAGAGCTCTCGATTTTCAAACAGCAATCACCCAGGACGCTTTGATGATGCCTGAAACAGGAAGAGGAATACACAGGTATACACGAAAAACACTATGGCCTGGACCTGGGATGCGAAGGAAAACCGGATCAGGCCCGGGGCTTTGAGGTTTGGTTTAAACTTTTGCTGGGCAAATATTTTGCCGCTTAGCTGCGTGCCGTGTGTCATCACACTGATTAACTTTGTCAAGTTTGCACAGCTCAGCAGAGAGACAGGATACGCCGAAGCAATGTGTGTCCAACATTGACCATTAAACGGCGACTGAGCCGTACTTAATTACTTGAGAGATGTGCCTCTTTAGGACCATCTGGCAGTATTTTTTTTAAGCTTAAGCAACAAGAAAAGATATATTTTTATTTGCCATTTTAATAATACTTTATTAAAATTTTTAAATTTTTATCAGTGATATTTAAAGATTAATATAGCCTTTATCATTTGAGGTTAGCTCTTCCCGCAAAATTTACAGACCTACCAAAATTGTTACACCTGTCCAGTTTGAAATCCACTCTGTATTTCAAACTCGTTTAGCATTCGGACAATACAAATTTTCCCCCAGAACTGATTTTACTTTTTTCCTGGTTTTTTGGCTTGGGTTTTCCGCCCTTCCCGAAACTGGAACGAGTGGAGTATTTTTTCAATCTTGTTGTGGTGCTTTACTGGTACTTGGGTACATGGCCATTTTTGGTTTATTTACCCTGGTTTATTGCTTTGTTTTTCGTTAAATTTTCATTTTTGCTGCTTTTGTTTCGCCTGCAATGCAAGTCACACAATTCGAGAGGCCAATTGTAGAAGGGGACCGGGCAAGGAATGGGAGTCGGAATGGGAATGAGAAAGCTGGCATAACATGGCCGCAATCATCAACTTGAACTCCGGATTCCGTCCGCCGTCCGCCCATCCGTCTGTGTGCCCGTAAGTTGTACTTGAAACAGGTCAGAAACTTTCCACCAAAGTGGTTTGTATTAAGTCAATTAAAAAGTTTACAGTCCTGCTGACTGCTGCCTGACTTTTGATGCCTCGCCCACAGCCACCAGTCAAACACCAGCCGACCAACAGACCACCCACCTCCCCTATCCCACCATTGTCTCTTGGCCAACTGTGAGGCCTTCGGGTCCTTAGCATATTTCACAAATTCTCGACAAAAACAACATTCATTTGGATCTCGGATTTGTTGTTGCCTTGCGGTCATGGGAAGAGGCGGGCGCATTCTGCCACCCCGAGCCATAAACTAAATTACGCTTGTTTTCATCAAAAAAACTTTGTCCTGGGCAATTATTTGTTAAGATTAATTAACACTTCAAATAAATATTTGGTGTTGGCGTGTCGGTAATTGCCTAAGTGCTGCCGGTACCTTACCATATAGCATTCCCACTCCATGGTGCGTATATTAGCTACGACTTTTGGCTCCTTCTAATTGGGATAAGTTTTGTTTCCGAAATTCAGTCTGCATTTTCTGTTGCAAAATGTAGTTTTCAAACTATGAGCTTAATTAAAGTTTACTCCGTTCTTTCCAAATTAGTAGTGATAAAGTATTTATTAAATATTTAGAAATATATTCAGGATTCTTAATGGACGAAAAACTCACTTATTACATATTCCAGAAATGTTTTAAACCTTATAATTAATGATAAAAAAATGAATACAAATGTATCTGTATTTTCTATTTTAGTTCTACCAAAACTGGGTCCTTTTATAACTGGCTGGCGACATGCCTACAAATACCGCGACACTCTATTAGCCAACTGCAGTTCCGATTGGTCAAGTCCAGCGTCAAAATTGATGTGGTACATCAACAATAAGACGGTGAGTATTGATTTTGATTATGTGATTAGCGTTTCAAATATACACCAAAGATATGACAGTTCAAAATTAGTTAAACTAGGAAAGTACACTGAACTAAAATTGAACTTAAATATATTATTGAAAATAAATAACTAATGTTAAAAGCACAAATTGTACTGCAGAACCAAACTTTCAAAATCAATAAATTATTTGATCTCAATATCGTACGCTTCTATAAAATATATTTTCTTTGACTGTACCTTGGAAATTGCATATTTGAGACGTGTCAACTACGTGTGTGGCCCAACCACAAGTCACATGTCGGCGCGGTAGCAGTGTACATTAGTCAGTCGTTAATTCACTCGCCCCGTTTTGGCTGTTGAATTGACCCAAATGTTGACAAAGTAGGAGCGCAACTAGAACCTGCTGTCAGTCACGCCCGCATTCGGTCACTGTTGGCTTTAAAAATCCTCTCACACTTCCACCATCTCTTCCGGCCCTTCAGGTCCCTGGGTACAGCTTGCAGCCGCAAATTAACGAAGTCACACGCAACACCGATGGGCTCCACCTGTTCATCAGCCACCTGCAGCTGCGCCTGCCACTCGAGGACCAGAGGTTCATCAGCAAGAGTGAGGTGCTGGAACTGCGCTGCACCGCGGACATCATGGGGCTAGCTAGTGTAAGGAGAGAGAGCCGGGTCCGAACCACCGTCCTTGCCCTAAAGGATGCCGGCTACAACCAGCGTCTCACCGAAAACGGTTCCTGCATCAATGGCCAACCAGGTGAGTTTAAGATCTTCTTTGGCCCTCCGAAGAAAAATCTTAAGAAATACTATAAGAACTCTTATGAATACTATAATTAACATATATCATTTTCAGCTTCTCTCGCCGCCTGGCTGCTAGGGATTGTCCATTTTCTACGCTGGCATGGCACCCAAAGTTAGTGGCTAGCTTTAACGGGTTGTCTATTGTTAGCATAAGTTTCCGGGAATCAACTATAAGTGGATACACATCTTGGAAAACAATCAACAGTCCGGCAGAGGTGCCAACATAAATTGGATTCTTTGCACCATTTCGAGCCAAGTGAAAAGTTAACAAGCCAAGGCAGCAACAGTTGAATTTGTATATAGTCGAAATTGAATTAGTTAAGGTCCATGCAGGAAGCCCAGCCATTTCCTATATAAGTGTAAAACGAAACAATTATTTATGTGTAAACCAGCCAATGGAAAATAAAATCCAAAAATCATCACAGAATGAAAAGCATAAAATATTAATATTCTAGGTATCTAAACGTAATATTTGCTACCAAATACTATTAAATGTCAGAATTATTTCAATAGAAGTGAAAAATTCGAATATCAACAAATTTACACATGAATATTTGAGCACGGAAAATGGAACACACACAATCAATGGCAAGTAAACTTAATTATTGTATGTGAATTGTTAATTGTATTAAATGATGTATGGGAAATAAATAAATACGAATAAATATATGTATGATTCTATACAATTTTAATGAACAGCAGGCATAAGGTAAATGTCTATAAGGTAACATTTTTTGTCATTTTTTCAACAATTTTAATTTAGATTTAAAACTTTATAAACTCCTTAAAAACATTTTTAATCGGATAGAATATTACAAATGGTTTGCGGAGGATTCATTTTCGGTAGTGGCCTTGGCGGCGGTCTTGGCTCCCGGTAATGTAGACCCAGTCCGTCCAACACCAGCTCAAATTGAAAGGCATCCCACAATTTAACTAGGCTGAACGTATCATTGTCTTGGCTTTCTTCCTGATCATTTTCAGTCAGTTTCTTCCGATCATTAGTAAGAGACATAGAGGCCATAAGCAAAGCCAAAGCCATGCCCAGACGACACATATATAAATACTTAATAAGGCCCAGTGATTTCGGGAAATCCAACACATAACCGAGTATACAACCAAAAGGGTCCCAAACAAGGGCAAGCGATAAGTTGACGAGAAATGTATGAAAAGCTACCACGCCAAAAATAACCTTCTTCTCGATAGTCTTCCAGTTTTTCAACAAGCTGAGTGTTCCCATTTCTTGAAGATATATATGCATCGCCATAATATAAAGTATAGAAGTGAAATCAGGAGCCGAACATCTAAATGGTTGCAACAAGAGCTTCTGGAGATGCAGCAACTCGATTAAGAGAAACATCAAAATCTTCATCACTTCATAAACCATTCCGTACTGGCTCATTTTGAACAAAATATTATTTTCAAAAAAGGAGATTTTTAAAAGTTATGCTGTCTATATCAAGAGACGATACGTTCTGCCCTGAACAATGTGAATTTGTATATTAATTGAAAGGCATAGCAAACCTGACCTGACAAGAAATAGGATCCTGTTGACAAAGCTTTTATCAATTTTGTAAATTGATAAATATGCTTTAATCTTTCAAGTGTGCCCCATTTCTAAGAATTCCTAGACATCGCTGGGCGCCTTTTGAAGAACGTCCGGAAAAAAATCCTATACCGAATTCCTTTTTAGCTTTTGGGCTAAAAAAGAACTACTGCCTAATGCCACTTCTCCTCAATTCCCAAATCCAAATGGGGACCCCTGGAAAACCGCTTATGCCCCTCATTTCCTTTCCTGCAGTCGTTTACCTAACTTATGGCAAACAGATACAACGGCGGCAGTCAAGCTAACAAACAAACAAAAACACAGCCAAAATGAAAGGAAAATGCCAACAACGAAAAATTCGATTTAGCATCCCTCCGAATAAAAAAAAATGAAAAACCAAACACTTTACAAGGCAGTGAAAAATATTCAACGCATTAGGACAAATCCGGGCTAAAATATGCAATGGCCAATGGCCGCCTCAGGTAAGAATGACAGTCGGCCATGAGCGGGAGGGCTAACAAGGACACAAAAACTGTCAGGCATTGACCGAAAATTATGCATAAAATTGCCTCGAGCTAAGCAAGAGGAGCAAAAAATAAGGGACAAACAAAGATAAGTTCCAGCGTCTGTTGGTTTGGGTTCGACTTGAGTTCCAGCTCCGGATCCGGATTTCGGTGCTTCCGGAGAACTCCAACGTACACCGCCCCAACTCCCTGATTCGCCGCGGGCCCATTAAATGACGGAAGTAAATAAGCTTGACAAATTTCCACTCATCATTTTTGCATTAATTCGGCCTCCTTTTTGGCCAACCGACAAACCAACAGCCAAGAGACACAGCGGTGCTGCACAAAAAATGTCCTTTGATTAATCAAAAAATTTACCATGGCCAGTGGAATGGGATGGAACAACAAAAACAGAAACAACATGCAAAAAAGCAAACACAACAAATTGCCAAAGAGGCGCCGGCGGTGCCTGGTAAGGTTTTTCTTTCTCGGTTTTTTTTTGCGAGGCGCCAAAGCAAAACCTAACTCAAAGAATGGAGTCCGCGAAAGAGTATCTCAAGAGCATACACTTGGGAAAAATACAACAAAAATGTAAAAATTTTCATAAAAAAATTTAAAATTAGGTTTTAGAAAAATCACGCTATTTGGAAATATAGATGTTAATAATGCACTCATACCTTTATTCTTTTATCTCAAACAAGCTACTGTTTTTTTGGCAGTGCACAAAATAAAACCAAAACATACAGATAGAGATAGAAGTAGACGAAGATCTCCCAGATTTTTGCACGCGATTTGTCAGGCCGTCATCTCTGGCGACATCACCCGGCAAGGGAATTGGATTGGAGTCTTTTCATTTTCACATCTGATTTCTGTTTTTTTAGATGCCACAGAAGGAGCGACAATCAAAGTTAATTTAGTAAGTCACGTGGCAGCGAAATTTGAAATTGCTCTATCCGAGAAAGCAGCGGAATGTCAGATGTAAAAAACACAAAGAAAAATCATTAAAAATAATAGAAATTAAAGACAAACTTACAGAATATATTCTCACCTTTTTAAAATCATCTATTTAAGTTATTCGCTGATAATTAATTTCTCTATTTTCAAGCTTCTTGAATATACTTATTTTTCTTGAAGGCAGTACCTTGTTCCGGGGCACAACGGCTAGATGAATTTTGTAATTTTGGCAAAGAAAATGTTTTAAATTAAATGAAAACACGTAAATGGCTCCACCAACCACCGACAATCTCCGGGTGGTTCCCTTGTAGTTTCAGGCAAATGAAACAAAAGCAAAAACGACCGCATAAGAGTCGCTTCTCAGGTGATAACATGTAGCAAGGATTGTTTTTCTTCCTCTCAACCCACTTTTTCCCACATTGTTAATTTCGTCCTTTCCTCAATCCAATCCTCTTTCCGCCCGCCCACCAGACAATTTAATGTAAAAACAATGTGAGTCGAGATTTAAATTTAATTTCATTATGTTTTGTCCCATTTTCACTGGCGTTTCCACAGATGGTGTTTTTATTTAACCGATTTACAATTGGCCTGATCATCGACACACATCCATCCCCGCCACTTCACTCGTCTAATAGACAGTGACACTGATTCAAATTAAATATTTGGCCGGTCCGACTCTGTCAGTCTGTCAACACGGATTCAAATAAACATGAACTGCATTCTGAATTGTTGCCTTGCCTGTTATCAATTTCAGCTCTCTGTTTTTTTATCGTTTCCGTTAAAAATAACTAGCTAAAACGTAATTGATTTTTTTTTAAGCATCTGTGAGTGACACACCGAATCAATAAGTGCGTTAAAAATATGAATTTCAATGGTCATAGATACATTATAAATTCAATATGAAAGCTACATATTTTTGAAACCATCTTTGTTTTAAAACAAGTCCCCTACCAAAAAAAACACAGTATTCCTGAAAAAATGGAAAATCCCGGAGTTTACAGAAAATCACTGACCCAACTAGAGGCGCTTAGGAAAATCTGTCAAGTCAGTGACAGCCCTGAAAGTTTTTTGGGCAAGTCGTAGAAGAGTAGAGCCGTGAAGAGCAGTGAGCTGGTGCAAGCATTGATTTTACATTTTGAGCCGCGAGTGTCAGTCAACGTGTTGCAGGGTCATGACAAGGCACTGGAACTGAGCCTGACATGCGTTCAACTCGATGATGGCAATTTAAACGTACACAGGATCCAGCACTGGGGTTCCTTTCGTCCGTTTTTTGTGGGTCCTAGATCGTTTGATGACTATGCAATTTAAGGTTTTGTGTTACACCTAACCCGAAAAACTTTGCCTACTTATCAGGGCTAGTTCATCTCTAGTTCTTCTTTAAAGAATTCCAAACCAATATGAATACAAAATTCATTTTGAGTTTATGCTTTAGGAATTGTGATTATTTCATTCATTTTTAATTAAAAAGTATCTTTTATTGATTATCTGGAACAACATAAATCCAATAAGACATGTACGAATTTTTGACAAGTGTTTCCTCTGTTGCAATTAAATCGAGAATCATCAAAGGTGTACGAAATGACACATCGGTAGGCCCGGCAGAGGCATTTTGATTTCCATTGCGAGTTCTCAGAAAGAACTGCCAAAGGCAGCAGTCGTCTTGTCCAGTGAATTTTGACTTGTGGCAGTTGGGTCGAAAATCGAGATGGGCGACGTGGGTGCCTGGCAGGCGGTTTTTCACACAGGCTGGCGTATCATTGGCAAATTGCATTGACATATTGTTGCTATCGGCTATCCCGAGTGTTCTTATGTCGCAGTAAATGTCAAAATGTCGCGTCACGATGCCAAACCGGCTAAAGGCATTCCAAATTGCCATTCACATATCCGGCCCTGCCGCTTTCCTGCTCCCTGTCCCTCACAGAATAGCGCTCATAAAGCCTTTGGCTTTACGCTTGGCATTAAGTGGACTTATAATTAAACGATTTGCTCATTTAATCGCGTCTGTTTATCGTTCGATGGACGAGTATGGCAACGAATCCCTCTTTGCTGTAGGACATGTTCGAAAATGTCCTTTGCATTATTTTATTTTTGTTGTAGTGGCTGTGTCTGGCATTTCCAATACAACATTCGCCAACGGCCTAAAGAAAACGCCTATAAAAATGCTTCGCTGGCGCCAACAATTCAAAATGGAGCTGCAGCCATTGCTTTTATAATGAAAATTATTCTTCTATGGGACTTATTAGCCTTTTCTTTGTTACTGGGAGTACGCTGTAAAACTTAATAAAATTTTAAATATTCTTAAATGTTTTTCCAATATTATATGTTTGTGTTCCACATTGAAGCAATGAAAAGAATTCATTAGTATTATGGTAAAGGGCAGATGAAACCTATTTAAAATCAAGGGCTTATTGTTCGCCAATTTTCCATACTTTCTTTATTAAATTATCCAATGAACGAAAAATTCAAAAGATACATGATTCCGATATAATACAAACCAAACTACACCAAAAATTTGGCAACAATTTTGCAAATTATGATGTATTGTAAAGTTTAATAATTACATTTGTCTTTATGAATGTCCCTTCTATTTAACGTACATAATAATGTTGTAATATTTTTTACATTTTTGTAAAATTTTTTGGGGAATAGCCTGAAAAATGTGTAAGAGAAGGCC